TGCACAAACAATGAATCATGGAACACTTCATCTAGAACTAATGATGTAATGTATGGGGATTAACATAAGAATAAAAAAAGAAGATTAAATGACATAATACATGTAAAGCAGTGTAAAAAAAAAAAAAAAAATTGCAGAAAACTACAGCTAACATCTTATTGAAAGGTGACCGATAAAGGAGTGGCACAAGGCTGCGTGGTGAAAGAAGTATTCTGTATCTTGATTGTGGTGACTAGTTTAAGAATCTACAAATGTAATAAAATGTCATGAAACTCTGCACCCACACTGCACCAATGTCAAATCCTGACTCTGGAAGATGTAGCCACTTGAGGAAATTCAGTGAAGAGAACATGAGACCTTTCTGCAACTTCTATCACATTTCTATGAGACTATTCAAAATTAAAAATTAAAAAAGATTATGTAATTCTCTTCTAGATGAATTGACATTAAAAACTAGATTCTTTGCAGCATAAGTAATGAATCTTTAGTTGTATTTAATTCGGATGAAATCAAAGATACTCATTGCATTTTAAAGGGTTTTTCACCAACAAAGCAAAGCTCAGTTTATTTCAAATTTTGCATAATAAATATCTGAATTTTGAGAACTAGAGAAAACAAAAGAACAACGAACCTTTTTTTAAACATGTCAATAATTTAAAAGAAAACAAACTTATGTCCTTCAGTTACGATGCCTGCATACTTTCTAAAATTAGGGGAACAAAACGTGTCTTACCATAATTAAATTGACTGTTGGACTTTTCACAGTTAATGATGTTAAATCTATAAGCAACACCCGGTCGCATTCCACTGACTTCAAAGTAAAACCACTGGTGATAATGATTGCTATTTATATCTGAGTTCAAAATAAGATCATATTCATTTCTGAAAATAGAAAATAAAGAAATCTGATGAAAATTAGGAAAATATCTGTGTACAGACAAAATGAGAAAATTTTAAATGACTTACTTTCTAATTTGAATTACTTTGCGCAGATTCCCAGATTCAAATTTGGAGTTAAACTTCAAAATGTCTCCTTCTTCTGGAATAGTGTAACTAAATAAAATTTTTGAAGTAAGTATAATAAAATACATTGCATGTAAATAGGTGAACAAAAGATAAATAAAACTACACTACAAATTAAAAATATACCACTATGGACACTTCACCCTCCTCATTATTTTTAAACCAAAAAATATAACCAACACAAGCAAAACACAAACTCTGGCTAACATTTACAGATTTAAAAATTGTAACTACAAGTAGAGATGTGTTCCCACATTTATAGTGAATGTTAATCACAAATAAGAAATTTTGCCTCACTGAATAAATGTCATTCCTAAATACTAAAAATCATATAAAAAGGCCAAATGTATTTTTTAAAAGGCACATGACCTGTATTGAGTAGCAATAATTCTAATTAAACTACGTAGTTCTCAGGTGAAAATATTAAATTTACAGAGCTGTATGAGATAACAGATATTATTTTATTTAGTACCAAAAAGGTGAAGGTATTATCTTCACTTTACATAGTCACTACTTTAGTAAGTATTTACTGAGCACCTACTAGGTACCAGATGCAGTTTCAGTTGTATGTCTGTTTCCCTGATTAAATACAAATTCTTGCTCTTCTGAAGCTTATATTCTAATAGGGGAAAACTAAGACTCCAAGAAGCTCAATGACTGTGGCCAAAGTCATTTCAGTTAGAAATAGCACTGGTATGTATGCTATCCTCAGGGTTCCTGAGTTTCTCTTTTTATCACATCTGCCTTATCTGTCTGACACAGAATTGTAACCATTGACATAACTAAGATATTCTGAATAAGTAGATTTGGTTTCCATTTTTAAGATTATTCCAAATTCAGTCATTAGCTTTGATACAGCTTTTACCCTTATTTCTCTGACAAAGATCTTTAAAAGGTGTTTTATTTCCTCCAAAAAGACCAGTAAGATGTGAAATTTCTCCCCAAATATTAGAATATTGAGGGAGGGGAAAACCCATTGAGGGCTAATTAAATGTTTCCTCTGAGGAGGCAAATAATAGTCACATTCATCACTTCTAATTTTCATTTATTTACTTATATTTAAACCTTAAAATGTGATGATACCAGTGATAACCCTAAATTGTAAATAACACCAAAGCATCAAGCATCATAAACAAATGGCCTTAAAGGTCTGGAAAGTAATCAAAAGGACCAATGCACATCATAAGCAGTAAAAGATGAGAAAGAGTAGTGGGGACTATGGAGAAATTGGCAAGCACATATTCCTTCTAAAAGGGATGGTAATTTGTTGTCCCAAGGAAATGAAGGCTCAGTATTACAGGACAAAACTGCAGCCTTTCATGTGAAATTTCCACTTTCTCCAATGGAGGTAATTTCAGATTTTTTAAACACAGTATCAGTTTGCGACCTTTCCCCTTATTAAGCCCATTAAAAGTCTACCTATGAACAAACAAAAGCCTGTGATGTATTCAATTTAACATGATTAACTATTTATTCCATTACCATTATATCCCTGCTAAAAGATGAAAATGGAGTAAGGGCAAACTAGGTGCAAGTTAGTTATATTTTTTTATCTTTTACAAACAACACTGAAACTTGAGAGTCCAAATAAAAGTAAAAGCAACAACAACAGCAACAACAGACTTACTTTGGGTTATCTAAGTCATATACCACTCGATCTATGATATCACTCTGATGTATTAACCTCTCAATATCTTGAGCAATTTTTGTCCTGAAATCATAAAAGAGAAGCGTTGACTACCAAAATTCATTATTATATGCCAAGGCACAAGTTTTTCTAATAAGTTTTGGATGAAAAAAGTATAAAATGACAAAACTTCCTTAAAATAAAAATGATCACTCTATATATTTTGTACACACAAATTTATCAATACACAGCAAGACAAAAACCGGTATTTTTAAAGTCTGAATTCTAGAAAATAACCATGTAGAATACAGCTACAAGTTCAATAGCTTAAAAAAAAATCTTGAATGCATATTATGACTTTCTACATAGAAATGATATGAAACCTCTCTCTAGCCCTTAAGCACATAATTTTACGTAACAGCAGTAAAGATCTAAAAGCCAGAAATTACGTATAAAGGAGATTTGTTAAACCCACGCTTGCTGGAATGTAGCTAAAATGTAACTGGCAAACAGTTTACACATTCCGCAGAATCTGTGCTCTCTTCTGTGGCTGGAGAGGAAATGTGGAGGGTGAGGGGAACACTTGTGTCAGGAAGCAGAGAGTGGACCCTGAATCTCCAGGATCCTCTAGGCCTGATCTCCCCATGAATCAGTCCAACAAAATGGACACCAGCTAACTGAAAAATTCCTAAAATCCCTGCCACTGTCCTAGAAGAGTGAGCCACACACAAATCCCACAATCTTCCCTGTCAGTAATTAAGCCAAGGAATACAAAAATCACTAAAAGTGGCACCAAACTGTAACCAAACCAGAACAAATTTGGATAAAGCCAGGTGCCTGGAACTCCAGGTAGACTGGCCACAAAGGTCTTGGTGGGAAGATGCCTGCTGGTGTTAATAGTCATAGTATCACTTGTCATACCAGCACTTATTCTTAAAGAGGAAGCCAATTATATGAAATGATTTAAATTTCAAGTTTGTCTGTTTCAGCTAAAGACTGGTAATGCAGATTAGAACTGTGGTCTACTGACATTGATAGAGCAGAGTGGGAAAATTTGCCAAAATGGTTATAAATAAAATCTGAAGAATACACTAAACACTGAAAGTCTCCTGAACTTCAGGTAGATGTGAAACTAGTCTCCTGCACAAAGATACTTCTTTGTGATTATGGTGTATTAACTCTCATATAGTTTAGAAATATACCTAGTAATATCACAGTATAACTTCAGAATAAGCTAAGAATCTATTCTGATGAACTAAAAATTATCAGGAAAACATTAAAAGGTGTGATAAATACAGGAAAAAGAATGTACAACTCTAAATTTATTTTTAGTTTTATTCTACAAAAAATAACTCATCACTGTAAGCAGTCTATCAAAAATAAATAAATAACCCACTACCAAAGGATTATGATATAAATCCTTGAGTTAGGTTCAATATCATAACTTTCAAATGCCAAATTCTTTCTAAAGAAACAACCTTTTAAAAAAGCTTTTAATTACAATAACAAACAAGTCCAAAATTTATATCACCCAGATCTTCGACAATAAAAGAGATGGCACTCACATATATTCAGATATGCCATACAAAAAAAAAAAAGTGAGTATTCAAGTATGGGTGAAAGCATAAATATATCCACTTGTTAGAACAATTTATTAAATAAGGCTGATACATACCACAAATGTGCAAAAATTAATACCTACAAAAGTCTGAGTGTTTTTCTTTTTTAAAGGAAAATGTTATTAACAGGCTGATGCAATAGCTCAGTTCTACAGCAAAGTTCCATTATATAAGAGAGGGTCAGAATAGCACAGAGAGCCATGGGCCAGCGGGTGTAATTGCGTGAGCTGACCCGTGGTGATGTGGAAAACTGCAGAGCACAGCCTCTGTATAAAAAACAAACTGATCACTGCCGGGTAGGAACCAGAGGTTAAGGCTGTCATACCAATTTTTCAAGAAACATCAGAAACTTGGATTTCTATGGGGAATCTCCCAAATTTTAAATGTTGGCAATCAGTAAAAACAAAACAAACAAACAAACCAGTCTGCAAGTGAAGTCAAAATCGTGTGCAAATTAATATGGCCTACAGGCCACTGGTTTTCAACGTCTGACACTGTATTTTAGGGGACATAGTGGCCCATGTATATTAGACTAGACCTAAAATTACACTTGAGGGAAATAGCTGTCCTGCCATCAGCCCTCATAAATAAAGAGGAAAACCAGTCCTTTATTCAGGTATGGATTTGTGTTAAGCAGCACAAGTTTCATAAAATATCAATCCTTCCTTCCTTTACCTCACCTGCCTATTAAAATATATGGCTCTCCAGTCAAAACAAAACAATAAATATTTTCCAGGTACCCTCGGGGACTATAACCTCAAACCTACTGATATTCAGTATCTATCAAAGGCTTGGCCCAGAAGATAACTCCTGCAGGGCAGTCTGAACAGTAAATACTCAGAAGGTCATGTGATATGCGGCCACCAGCAAAACTGTCCTGTGTTAGTTAGGTTTTAACCCATACAGAGCAGCCTTACAAGAAACAATTTAATACATCTCAATGCTATATTTGCTATAAGGATGTCATGGGAAATGTTGTTCATTACATTAAGTGCTCCCCGAGGAGCCACAGAAGATAATCTTTATAGAGAGTATGGTTTAAGCCATATACATGATCACTATATATAAAGGGTGAACAGGACAGGCTCATGACCTAGACCAGAGTCTGACTCTTGGCTCTGCCATTTACTAACGGCATAACCTTGTTGCTCAAAAACCCTAAGCTTCAGCACAGTCTTGTGTAAAATAAGAGGAAGAATAGCAATTTCCTCACAGAGCCATTATAACGTGAAATGGCATACTTCATATACACACGCACACTGCGCAAAAAGTGCTGATTACTCAGTTCTCTGCCTGGCTCATAAACACTCAGAGTCATCTACCACTGTTGCTCCTACTAAGATTTCTACCACTGTCTCCATTCCAGAAGTACTTACATTTCCCCTGAGACATCCTAGACTTACTATAAGGAAATCCAGGGTTTTGTTTTCCTTACTTTGCTTTTGCCACAATTCTTTCACCTACTTTTTAATTTTAAATTTCTGAACACATAATATATTGACATGGAGCAAAAATCATACGCTACATAAAAGTATAAGATGGAGACTCTCAACACAATCCATATCCTCCCTCCAACTAGCTAACTACTTGTATTACTCTCCTTCTGCAAGCACCTTATAGCTCCTTCCATCAGTGCCTAGAGATTTTTCTGTTTTTTAATCACTGCACAGCATTCACAGAAAAGATATACCATAATGTATTTAACTAGTCCGACTGATGAGCACGCCGTAACGAAAAACTTTGAACACCATTTCACAGATGTGCGAATTATATATATATATATCATGCATATAAATTATAAATTCCCATGTGTCAAAGGAAATATGTACTGTTAATCTTGATAGACCCTGTCAGACTGCCCTCCACAAGAGGTACTATCAATTTGCAATCCCATTATCAATGTATAAGGGAGCCTGTTCCTCCACAGCCTCATTAATAGAATGTGCTATCAAACTTCTAGATTTTGGCAATTTGATATGTGGGACATGATATCTCAGTACATTTTAATTTGCATTTCTTTTATTTTGAGAGAAGTTGAACATATTTCTGTGATTAAGAGTCACTGTATTTCTTTGTCATATTTTTCATTTTATTTTGATAAAAGTACTTGGTAAATGCTTTTTAAAACAAGGCAATATGAATTATATTTTATTATAAAATACAGTTAGACAATTCTAAAACATACAGAAAAAATAATGGAAAGTAAAATCAAAATGCTAAAAGTAACCACCTCTGGGGAATGGGGCAAAGAAGGACCTGTCTTCTTTCTACTTTTTCTCATGCTCTAATTTTACAGAATATGAAAACAGGAAAAATGTACCCAAAAATGCTAAGCATACTTTAAACTACAAGAGATGAGTTTCACTTTAATTTGTAAGCCAACTTAAACCAAAACTATGGATTCAAGTAATTGTCAGTATGTGATTACAGTAAAAAAAAAAAAAAAATTAAGGGTTAAAGTACTATCTACATTGAGATGTGAAGCTTATAATAGGCTTTCCCCCTTCCATATGAGGTGAAGAAATTTTTAACGAAGTTTTATTCATTTGCTGCATTATTTTAAAAAGATTATTAAAAGGTCAGTGATAATCATAAAGTAGAAATTCAAAATAACAAAAAGATATTTTCACTGAGTAATTTTAAGAAATCTAATGCCTCCTTTTTCTGAAAATAATAAAATAGTAAATCCTTAATAATTTTGACATTATTCATTTACAATTTTACTGCATTCGAACAGGGGCTGGGCTAAAAAGTTGGCAAATAATTTATAAAATGTTTATCATTTGCTCAAAACCTAAGTTGCAGAAGACTAGGAAAATAAGATAAGCAAACTAGAAACAATATCCTCAATGTAGTATTTTAAAAATGGCAGCATTCCTGAGTACTAAGAAATACTTACTACCTGGCCCATATTGGATATTTTATCACATATACAGAACCAGGAAGCCTTCAGACTACCTAGCTACTAGAGTCAAGCAAATTTTTCCTTTAAGGACCAAGTAGTAAATATTTCAGGCTTTGAAAGCCACATGGTCTCTGTGACAACCATTCACCTCTGCCACGGTGGCACCAAAATAGTCATAGACTATACATAAACAAATAGGAATGAATGGCTGTCATACAATTTTTATGTGTCACAAAAAAAATTTTTTTCCAGATTTTTTTGAACCATTTAAACATGTAAAACCACTCTTAGCTTGTGGGCTGAACATAAACAGACAGTAGTGAGCTGTATTTGACACAACAGGCCATAGTTTGCTAACCATGATCGAGGTGAACAAACTTTTCTGATCATGACCTACTAGAAATATTTTAAAAATCACTGTCCTGATGAGCCGTCTGGGTGGTTAGTCAGTTAAGTGTCCGACTCTTGATTTCGGCTCAGGTCATGATCTCAGGGTCATGGGATGGAGCCCCACTTCCGGCTCTGTGCTCAGCGGGAAGTCTGCCTGAGATTCTCTCTCTCCCTCTGCCCCTCCCCCTGGGCACACTCTCTCTAAAATAGATAAATAAATCTTTAAAAAAAAAATTACTGCCCTGAGTGCACGCATGCACGTGCACGCACGCACACACACACTCGCCCCTGAAACAAAAGTTTATGAAATAATACTTTGATGTACTACATGTGACACACTATTATTTTCTCCTTTAATACTAGTTACTAAATGGCCATCAATCCATAGTTTGAAAAGAAAATTGCTATCTAGAGAAATTAAGTTATTTCACTCAAACATGCACACACAGAATTAGTGGGACAGCCAAGTCTAGAATCCAAACACTTTACTTGCTTTTCAGGTGCCCTGTCCTGCCAGGACACACCACAGTGACTCATCACACTTATCAAGTCAAACCCACTGGTTCAAGTATGCTTGCTACGTGCATTTATTCTTCCAGTCTCAAATTAATGTCACTTGAAGGAACAAATGCAGTTCCCCCACAGTTCCTGTGAGCATCTCCTTAGGAGAGCCTGAAAAGACAAATACCAGCAGGACAAACTTTGTCCCCAACACTGCAACCGTTCTCAGGGCTGCAACTCCTCATCTCTATCCCCCAACATCAATCTAAATCCCCCTCTCACTCAGCTCCACTCCTGCAAGTCTTGGATTAAGTGACCCAAACTTAGAGAGGTCTGAGTCCCTGGCAATCATATCATCTCATTCCAGGGTCACTGTGACATGCTCACTCACACTTAAAATGAGTGGATCACTTGAGTTCCACACATATACAACCTGCTGCCATGGCGTGTACAAGCAATCTTACCTCCTTTAGCTGATCTGGGTCAAGATGGTAGAGCCTATTTCTGCCTGCTGGTCCTAGACACAAGAATCTACAGTAACCTGTTGGCAACCACAGCTTGCAGTGAAGTTGTACCCTTACTATGTCCACCCCCATGGAAAGACTACATCCACTTTGGGAACCCGGACTACTAACACTGCAGAGATCAGAGGTACAGGGACAGAAAGCACCAAGTCCCCCAGTGGGACACTGAGAGCTACAGGAAGGTAGGACTACTTCCTGTCCCCACCTCCTGGTATGGGACTTATGTGTTCTTTCTTTTGGGGATACAGAACCATGTGGAAGTTTCTAGTTTGGTGCATATACACTTCATTCTGAAAGATGGCAACCCATCACTGCAGAGTATTTCCTCCTAGTTGGAGCTGCACTGTGCCTTCTGAAAGCCATTCTAGCACTCCAAGAGGCCAGCTGCCTCTGGACAGTGCAGTGTGTGATGCAACCAGTGGATGCCAGAGCACATGCCCACTCCTACACACCTTTCCCAGCAAAGTGAGTCCCCTGTTCTGATGCTATGTTATATGTCATTCCATACCTGTGGGTCAAGGAGCCAACTGGTAGCATTAAACATATACTAAGTTGCTAAATAAAAATGATTAATTTATATGATACATTAAATACAAAAAATTAGTAAGATACAACTGTTGCTTTAAAAAAGCCTATAGTCCAAGGAAAATCAAATGCCTACAGCACTGTCTTCCTGTATCATTACATACTATATTCATAACAAGATCACAGAGATTAGGCACTAGTAAACCATCACCACAAAACCCTAAACATAACCACTGAAAATAGTCAAGTTGCACCACAATTGTACTTAATATGCCAAATATTACTAGATGGTAATAGTTAATACTATTTGTAATTTCTAAAATTTCTAAAATTAATTGGCAAGGTTTAATAACTTTAGTTACTGCTTTTTAAATTTTCATAGAGTATTTCCAATTTCAATTTTTGCAAAATAATACTGTCCACATTTCTATTTTTAAATCAAGTTCAAATTATAATCAAATTACTAAATTAATATATTACTAATATTTATTCAAAGATTAGTAAATGATCTATATATTCAGATGCCATCTAAATATAAAATTTCTAAATTGTCCAATGGTCAGGTTTACTATGCTGGCTTCATCTGAATAAGTAATGAGCTTAGAAAAGAAACAAAGTTAACCCATAAGGATAACTGCAAATAAGCGCAAATTTCCAAAGCAGGATAAAAAATTACGGTAACTTTAATCCAGAGTACTTTTCTTCCTAAATACCCACATTTAACAATGGTCTTGTTTAAGAGAAAGAAGAAACCTGAAACTCACCTTTGTACACCATAAGGTCTTTCTAAAATAGGCTCTCTGAATGGAGGCGGAATGTGACCAAAATAATCAGGATAAGCCACTTCTGAATATTCTGGGACAGACTTTGTATTTTTCACAATCTCAATATAGAGATCTGAGTCGTGGAGGGTGGGTCCATCAGAGACTTCTGCTGATGCTTGTTCCACTGATGAAGTAGATTCTGTATCTTCATCATCCTCAGTTTCAACTCCAGTACAACAAAGCTTCCCTAGCTGAACTGTTCTTCCCTCAAACAGAACATTTCCACAAGTGGCCATGTGTGGACAACTTTTAGTGCACGTGAGGACAGTAAGAGGGAGACTGTAGTCCTTCTTCGCTCCTGCATTAAAACCTGGGGCTGTCTGAGAAGGGATATTCTGCAACGTAATTCGGTCCAAGGCCTTCACAATATCATTGTTTAAGCCCTGGGCCGAAGAAATAGTTCTGTTTTGATCACCTAGAGGCTGTTGTGATGTTCTGTCATTATCTTTAATATCTTCTTTCACCAGATCCATACAGGTAGGCTTCTTATCACCTTCATCTCCTTTAGGAGACACATTTGCTTTCCTTACAACTCCTTTTTTTAAATTGCCTGGATTCCCAGATGCTTCCTCTCCCGCAGTAGGAACAACAATAGGACCACGTACTCTGCCCTCAAATACAAAAGGCTTTGGTTCTTTGGAGATTAAATCATAGTCCTTTGAAAATAAAAAAAATACGTTTAATCTTTAATCTGTAAATATTAAAATGTATTAACAAAACTAAGACTACATTCTTGTATATCCTGCTTCGGAAAACTAACATTTGAAAATTATAAAAATGGATAAAACAGAGTACATTTTAATTTCACTAAATAAAACACAAAATACTTAGCCACAAAATTCATCACACTTATTTTACTTTTTCTATTATAAAAATAATGCCTACATATAAGAGAAATATGGGAAATTTTACAGAAGCACAAAGACGTTAAAAGCATCCAGACTCCTATTAAAGGAAACACAACTGAACTGTTACTCATTAACTCAACAATTAGAGTGTCTGTTTTGTGCCAAGCAGTGTTTCAGGCACTTAAGTACCATCAGCTTAAAAACAAAAATAGAAACAAAAAGCCTCTTCCCTCTTGCAGCTTACATTCTTCTATGGAAGGAAGGGAGAGGACTGTCAACACAACCAATAATAAACATGACATAGGCGTGCCAGGGTAGCTGAGTCGGTTAAGCAGCCACTCTTGATTTCGGCTCAGGTCATGATCTGATCAGGGTCCTGAGATCGAGGCTCCCACCCCATCAGGCTCTGGGCTTGGCAGGGAGTCAGCTTAAAGATTCTCTCCCTCTCCTTCTGCCCCTCCCCCTGTTCGTGTGTTCTCTGTCTTCCCTCTCTAAAATAAATAATTTTTTAAAAATGACATAAATGTATTTTATGGAACGTGAGTAGGCTAAAGTGTTAAAGAGGGGAGGAAGGGGTACTGTGGATTGGGAGTGCCAAGGGGAGGGAAGATGGGCTACAATCTGAAACCCCATGGATTAGTGAAGCCTCCCTTAGATGACATAAAAGCAAAGGCAGAAAGGACTGCCATGCACAGAACCCAGAGTCGAAGAATGTCTGGGATATGCAGAGAACAGCAAGGGAGTCAGGATGGCTGGCACAGAATGAGCAAGATGAATTCCAAGATGTAAAAGAGGACCAGATCCTGCCGGGCTTTGCAGGCTATTTTAAGAATTTTGGTTTTTACTCTGAATGACACTGGGAGCCAATGGAGGGTTTGGCGAAGAGAAGTGCCATGAGATGGCTTACATTTAGAACAAAACACAACAAAATAGAACCTGTAAACGTAGAGTTTCTTAACCACCTGGAATACAGGGTTTCTTAACCACAGGGGTTGAGGCATTTGATCTAAATAATTTGTTTTTAGAGAGAGGGAAGCAAACCATAAGAGACTCTTAACTATAGAGAACAAACTGAGGGTTAATGGAGGAAGGTGGGCATTAAAGAGGGCACTTGAGCACTGGGTGTTATATATAAGTCATGAATCACTAAATTCTAGGCATGAAACCAATTTTACCCTGTATGTTAACTAGAATTTAAATAAAAATTTGAAAGTGTGTGTGTGTGTGTATTTCTTTTTTGTTTGGTTTTGGTTCTGTATTTCAGGGGTCGGGGTAGCAAGATGGGCAGCACTGTCTTGCACATTGTAAGATGTTTGGCAGCATCCCTGGCCTCCCTCCTCTGTACACTCTAGATGCCAGTAGCATCCCCACCCATTTGTGATCACCAAAAATGTCTCCAGACATTGTCAAACATCCCCTGGAGACAAAATCATCCCAGTTGAGAACCACTGTTCTAATGTCCTTCTGAGGACTGAGGAGAGGAGAGTAGAAGCAGGGGACCAATTAAGAGTCTAGGCAAGTTGGTAAGAAGGGGTTGGATTCTAAATGCACTGTGAGCCAGAAGTGTCAAAGACCAGATGCAGGACATAAGGTACAGAGAGGTTTCACACATGGCGCCAGAGTGCTTGCCTAAATAAATGAAAAGCACCAGTTTAGCTCTGAGAGGTTAAATGTGAGTATTAAAGTAGGCAATTAGACATACAAGTCTAGAATTGAGAAGAACTATCCATCCAGAAGATAAATATTTGGGAGTCATTAGCATACAGATACTATTCCAAACCATGAGACTGGAAATCATCAATGGAAAGAACTAAAGAGAAGAGAAAAGACTGAACACTGAGGCACTACAATCAATCTACAGAGGTTGAGGAGATGAAGATAAAACAGAAGAGATGGAGAAGGAAAAGCCAGTCTGGAAAGACAAACACCAGGAAAGAAAAATGTCCTGGAAGCCAGGTTTAAAAAAAGAATGCTGCTGACAGGTCAAGTAAACATCTCTCTTTTTGTACTTATAGAAATATTTTTTTATCTATATAAGACTCTACCAAAGAAATATACCACAATTGATTTAACCTTTATTCCACAGTTAGGCATTAAATCCTTTACACAACAGAGAAGGATTTAAACACATGAACAAAGTGTATAATTAAGCCATTTCCAAAATTTTATTATTATAAAGAATTCTGTAATGAACTTGTTTTGCACATATTTTTTCTTTGTTTAGGATGATTTCCTAAGCACTGACATGGACTTACAAAAGGTCAGATACTATAATCAATTTTAATGTTTAATACAAATTGTCCAAATACCCTCCAACAATACTTATCTTAATGCTTATTCTCAATAACGGTGTATGAGATTATCTATTTCAACTGCTCCTCTTCCTTGCCAACATTAGGTACTATAGTTTTAAAACACTTTTTCAAAAGTGGTAGATAAGAGATATCATCTAACGCTATTTTAATTTTAATTTCTGTATGAGAAAAGCAAAAAATTTTCTAGACATCTGTTAACTGGTTTAATTCTTCACAGGTAGCTTTTTTTGTTCCTGGAGTATAGGGCTTTTCTTATTTTGTTGTATAAATTCGTACCTTAAAAAATACACACACACACACACTAATCCTCTAAGCCATTTTTGCAACTATTTTTCTGAATTTGCACTTCTTTTCATTTTCTTTAACTTCTTTACACACATTATGTCATGAAAATTAAGAATCTTTTCCTCTGTGATTCATTCCTTAAATACCCACTGTATAAAAACCAGGGACTCAAAGATGATTCACTCTCAGCCCCTCGAGCACGTCTAATCCAAGGAGACAGTGGAGGCACAAAGGAGGTAGTAGGTAGGTGGCTCTGCATTACAGCCGCTGAAGGGAAAAAACTCTGTTGATTTATAAAGACTAGCATACAAAGAATAGTGCCGAATTAAGTGACATTTAATATCTAGACGCCATTTTGATCCAAGAAGTCGCTTCAGTATCAAAGTCAGTATACAGCAGATGAAGTTTTCCCATAAACAAGAGTGTAATATGAAAGCTGCTTTTTTTAGAGTATAAGCACATGCCATGTACATAAATGAATTTAAAATAATAAGTTGAGGAAAACAGTTCAAAGAGGTTTTATTTTTAGAACAGTAAGTTAACTGTAAATATTTTGATGTTAGTCTGCTCATCTATGATCTGAGATCATGCTGAATTGAGAACATCCCCCAAACTACAATTTAATGCACTGGGAAAAAAAACTAAAAACAGTAATTCCAGCTACAATCTTCAGATCACCCTCGTGATATGTGTCATGGGTCCATTTTTCCTGAAAGAGCTTACACTGAAGCAATTTCCCCTGTTTTGGAGGATTTTGTAGTTAATTTTAACTTTGACTATTGTTTGGAAAAGATGGGCTGCCGATGTAGATATGATAGTTTTTTCATAAAACGGATGTTTATTTTGTATTAAAAATACCACTGCGCTTGTTTTACACCATTTGTATACATGTGGTAATATTAATGCTGAACTGTAAAATTCAGGTATTAAAATGTACCCTGTAATTCAAAAAAAAAAAAAAATTCTGTTGTAAGAAACATGGTGAGCTAGGTATCAACCCACAGGAACTCTTAAAATTGTTGGATAAGATATTAAAATATTTTAAGTACAACAAGTGGATAAGACAGCAAAAACAAAGAACAAATAGTAATGAAGATGGGACCCCAAAGTGGTAAGACTGAAGGTGGCTTTCACTTGGAAAACATTTGCTAAACCAGGTGACCTGGGGTTTAGGTTTTTCTATCTCAGAGTATAAAGTATAACTATCCCAGAACCTGCATAAGGTGGGGCGTCTACCAAAAGATCCTCCTCCCATAAAGATGAAACCCCAGAGAACGAAACACTTGATATAAATTCCCTAGAAATAGCCCCACCACAAAAGAAATAGCAAAGAAAACCAACAGTCTCAAACCTTAGCACTAAGAGGGTAAATAAAAAACATCATTACTCATAAATTAGTACCAAAAGCCTGCCATCACATCACACAGACTGCATCCTGAATTCACATTATCTGAATGGTCCAAAAACCCTCAAGGAGGAATGTAACCTCTAAGAGTGCCTGTCAAAAGGAATAACAACAAAAACTTCTGGAGTTTCCACATAAGCTCCACAAGCAGAATTATAAAGAAATGGTCAGCTCATTGGAGAAAAAAAAAACAACTAAATGAAAAATTAAGCAAGTAGAAGGAACTGAAACAAACATGTAGGAAAAGACCTGCAAGAATTTCAGACACTAAAATTATAAGACTAAGACTAATTAAATGGCCATATGTAAATGTTCAAAGAAATAAAAGACAAGAAACAAGAAGTTTACGATAGCACATACCCTCCCCAATGCTATGGTGAGCACTGTGAATTGTGTAAGACTGCTGAATCACAGACCTGTACCTCTGAAACAAATA